TCTGTTTACTATTACTCATTGTGATCTGTTGGTTAGAAAGTTAAGTTCCATCTGCCCAGTTTTCCGGTTATTCCTTTAGCACCCATTTCGTTACTCTATTTCCCCAAGATCACATTGTCGAAGGCTTTTGAAATGTCTGTGTAATACGACATCAGCATTCTGTTTGTCCTCCAATATACCGAAGATTATCATAGTGGTCCAGTAGAGACAGTAGCTACCTGCTCTAAACCCAGGTTGCCCTGGGTTGTGCAACTGTTGGGTACCCAAGGTTGTATTCAGCTCCTGGGTTCCTTTTCCCTTTCCCCTACTTCTGCAACTATTTATTTGTTGCAGGTTGAACTTCAGTAGCCACTTACCGGACCATTCCTGCAGATTTACCCAGGTCCAGTTTTTGCCTTTCCCTGACCTCCGGTTTTTATTAATCTCATTAATTTCTCATCATCCGCGACCAGGGATGCATTAGACGCTATCTCCCCTGACAAGCTATTTACATACATAACAGTAGCGTCTCCAGGTAGATAGTTAAGACACATGTGTAACGTATGGGCCTCTCTATGGTACAAACTTTTCGCCTACACAGTAGGCTTCGTCACTCAAATATGGAGAGATGACTGATATGTTGGGTAGTGTTGAGGAGTTGGAGATTGAGGTGTTCAGTCCTTCAGTCTTGGTAGAAGTGGGACTGAACTCCTCAAAGTGTTCAATCCCTCGGACTTACTGATACAGGTGGACCCAGTACCAACCCTCGAGGAACCACACTAACTCAGGTTACAAGTTTTGCTAATTCTCCAACTTTCCCCCCGGTTGTGTTTCATGGCAGTCTTCTATCAGTTGCCCTTCGCGAGAGGGAAGAACCTCGATGCTGGTGAAGAGCTCTTAATCAAAGGAATGGGAGCAGCCAAGCCCTCACTCGTATCAGACTATATTACCTCCAATTTCGTAAGCTCCGTATGACCCTTTCAGTAGCCTTCTCTCACGAATATAATAATAATAATAATAATAATAATAATAATAATAATAATAATAATAATAATAATAATAATAAATCTTCCATACATACATGGCTAAGAGGAAAAGCTCTACAGGATTGACTTCATAAATTTCTAAAGACTTGATAAATTACTATAGAGGAATACGTCGTTCAGTAAATTGTTCGCCTTAATATAAGTTTTGCATAACAATTTGGTCGATTACTTATCTCTCCCTTCATTCTTAACTACCCAGCTCAGGTATCTTATTAAGTTAGCTTGAAGAGCGGGCTGAATTACGAAAATACGGGGACAGGAGCTGTAACTCGACCCCCTACAATCACATATAGGTAAGTACAGCTCTTCCAGTACCCTCAGTTGACTGTAAAACATCAATTAAAGTGCTCTTGGATTCCCTCTAGTGATTCACTGTTTTGGTCTGACTTCTTATAGTCCATCCATCCTTCTCCTGCCTCCCATCTGTTGCTCTATAGTTCAATTTCCTGAACTGTACATAAGTATCTTTCTCTACAACTACGGAAGGTGTGTGAGACTGGATTTACCGTGTCTAAATCTGTGCTGTGTGTACTCAGCTATATGTGGTTACCGGGGGTTGATTTTCGGCTACTGACCACGCTTCTTCGCCCACCTCTTCGTTGATCGCTATTGGGTTCACACTCTCCTGGCTTCAAGAACGTATAGCTGTATCGATCCTTCCTCTACCACTCCACTGTCGTTCCACTTCCTGACCCTCCACTCCAAGGCTGAAGAAATACTAACATTTCTGTGACTCATCCATGTCTTGAACTTCCAGCTGCGTCAGGATCAAGGGTAATCTTTGGGTTACACTTTAGTAGTTGTTTACTAAATTTACAGTTAGTAACGTTACTAATGTTGTAGTTGTTTACAACTACTTGGAAACATCGTTTTATGTCTTTTATGGTTGTGCGCCTTATATGCCGGAAAATACGGTATGTCTTTCATAAAACCCAGAAAAACCACTCATGAGCTGAATGGGATGAATTATAGCAATTTGATATGCTGAATGTTGAAGACAGAGTAAAACAATTGAAGTTAAATCAAGTTTATAAAATTGCTCACAGTGTCGAGAATGTCCTGTTGCCAATTTTGTCAAGGTCGGGAACCGAAGCAATCATAGTACTAGAGGGAGAGAACACAACTTTGTAGTACCCACAGTCATTGGCCAGGCTTCAAACACCTTTTATTGTACAGCAATAAAGGAATGGAACAGACTACCTGCACATGTCAAAGCCAGTCATAGCATGAACCAGTTCAAGAAGAGTGACAAAAGGTGCCTAGTGAATGTAGCGAGAGAAAGAGAGGAGAATTATTTTTTATTTCTTTAGCTAACACACATGTAATCTTCCCTTAGTCCTAGTATATCTCCTTTGTAATATAATAAGATATTATTTCCTTTATAGAATAATAATAAGATATTATCTCCTTTATATTATTACAATACAGTAAAAGGACCACAATGGAAATAAGTCTGTCTGACTTTTTTGGGTTATCCCAGGTTCTCTACACATATGCTGCTATGTATGATAATTCTATGTAACTGTATTTGTTGAAGATTGAGACACTTATGCAACATATGGGAATCTTTATTTAGGAAACGTTTCGCCACACAGTAGCTTCATCAGTCCAATACAAAGCAGAAGGTGTAAGGAGAGGAGGAGTTTGAGGTAATCAGTCCCTCAGCTTGGAGTCGATGTGTTCAGTCCATCAGTCTTGTAGAGTGTACAGCATAGGGCCGAAGACGTGGCTTATATACTGTAGTCAGGTGAGGCGAAGCAGGAGGAGGCGGGGTCATAGTGGTACCATCCACTAGGGACTGAGGGACTGATTACCTCAAACTCCTCCTCTCCTTCCACCTTCTGCTTTATATTGGACTGATGAAGCCACTGTGTGGCGAAACGTTTCCTGAATAAAGATTCCCATATGTTGCATAAGTGTCTCAATCTTCAACTTGTCGGTTTTTTAAACCATTCATCACAACTATTTGTGTATACCTGAATAAACTTATAATTCCGATCATTGCGGGACCACGCCTGATATATATTCCTCATTCAGACATCTCAAGCTTTCCCTGTGGTATACTTTCACCTTTGATGAGTTCCGAGTCATTTGTCTATTCCGGAGCTCGGCCATGAACCAGGGTCGTCTGGTATTTGCTTGGTCTGCCAGGCTGTTGCTGCTGGTGCCCCGCTGTCCTCATATATCCATCAGAGCCTGATTTATTTGGCACCTAGAGAAGATACTTGTCTAGTTTGTCTTTGATCCACCAGAGAACGTTCTCAGTTATTCCTACAAGTCAAGTTATTCCCCTAGACTTGTGGAGAACGGTATTAAAAGCCTTCTTGCAGTGAATTCTCTTTGTCACAGAAAGCCAGAAGATTGACAAGAACAGATTTGCAAGCTCGAAATATTGGTTATCGTTTATGAAACAGCTAATTTCCAAGTGCTGGACCGGTAAGCCAGCTGAAGGCCTCGGTCAGATGACCAAAAGCTCCAACGGCGGGTGATCATTTGACGAAGACCCGAGTCAGGAAGCACTTGTTCTGTTTCCTGACGAACCTTACCTACCGCTCTCCTAATCTCTATTACCTTGCATAGCATACATAACATCAAAACTGACCTGTAGTTCAGTGCTTCCTGTCTATCCTTAAATACAGGGACTACATCCTCGAACTTCCAGACTTCTAGCAAGTGTCGCTGTGTTCAGTGACTAGTTGTAGACTACAGCTATTGGTTCAGTGTTCGGCTGTCTCTCGTAGCATCCAGGGTGATGCCTTGTTGGGTCCAACTGCCTTTGATACCTCGAGGTATACCCGGAGGGTGTTCGGGGGTCAACGTCCCCACGGCACGGTCTATGGCCAGGCCTCGCGGTGTATCAGAGCCTGATTAACCAGTCTGTTAATGCTGGCCGCATGTAAAACGACGTAAGAACTACAGCCCGGCTGGTCAGGAACTGACTTCAGGTGCCTGCCCAGCTTCCTCTTCAAGACAACCAGGGGTTTATTGATAATCCATCTTATGTATGCTGGGAAGCAGTTGAATAATCTTGGGCCCCTGACACTTAGTGTATCCAGGTCCGTTTATATTTTCTTTGTCTCTTCCCGTGTTGTATGGTCTCCAGCACCTGTTGGTGTGTTGTCTTCCAGTCATTCTGGTATACCATTGAGAAGACCACTTTAGATAATTTGACATGTAGCAGACCAGTCGTATTTCGTGAGTTCGTCTCTTCCTTTCTCTGCCGAATTACCCAGTTCTTTACAGTGACCCACCTATTTGTGGTTGCAAGGGTCGATTCACAGCTCCTGGCCCCGCCTCCCTGCTGATCGCTACGAGGTCCACTCTCTCCTTGCTCCAAGAACTTTATCGTATTGTATCGTGTGTGTGTGTGTGTGTGTGTGTGTGTGTGTGTGTGTGTGGTGTGTGTGTGTGTGTGTGTGTGTGTGTGTGTGTGTGTGTGTGTGTGTGTGTGTGTGAGGTGGGGAAGAGTTTGTACACATTTGTCTAGTCAATAAATGTTGGTCTTTCTCAATATCATGTCTGTCTGTCTATACCAGTCTCATGTCTGTCTGTCTATACCAGTCTCATGTCTGTCTGTCTATCCCAGTCTCATGTCTGTCTATACCAGTCTCATGTCTGTGTCTATACCAGTCTCATGTCTGTGTCTATACCAGTCTCATGTCTGTCTGTCTATACCAGTCTAGTTCATGTCTTTCTATCCCAGCATCATGTCTCTGTATCCCAGCATCACGTCTCTGTCTATATTTGTCTATTCTTTTCGCGAGTCGAAATCTTGATTAACGTGACGTCAGAGAGCTTTGGTTGCAACCGCATATAGGCTAATTAGACACTCAGCAAACGGTCGTAAATTACCCCAACGGCAACCCAGTGAAGAGGCGGAGGAAGAGGAGGAAGAAGAGGAGGAGGATTTGAGGAGGGGGCGGGGCGTCACAGTGATGGAGTCGGAGTGGGAAATACAGTCAGTATCACCCCTGCTGTAAGAGAGGTAGTATGTGACTTCCCTCTCCAGACTCTTCCGACACTGAATACATATCCACGAAGGAAAATATAACATATTAATCTGAGCTTGAGATGACGGTGTTTGCGTGCAACAATACTTCACGAATGAAAGACTAGTGTAATTGTTAGTATGGTTATCGTGCCTCAGCTCAAGAATGATGGTGTTTTGACTGATTGTAGCAGCGTTCGAGTAACAGGAGCGTGAGATAAGGGGGTGAGTATGCAAATGAGTTGACCTGCTAAGTGGGCTGAGAAACAGAGATTAAGTGGCACATTGCACAAAGTAGAGGGGAGGAGACGCGTCCCCTTGCAGCACGCCTCTCTGGGTATCGTTGCACAAGTTCTAGTTTCGTACTGGTGATCCGACGAGGTTATATTAAGGTCGTAAATTGAGGAGTGTTGATGGTGTTGTTTTTGGGTTGAATCACACACACACACACACACACACACACACACACACACACACACACACACACACACACACACACACACACACACACACACACACACACACACATACACACACACACACACACACACACACGCACACACACACACACACACACACACACACACACCACACACACACACACACACACACGCACACACACACACACACACACACACACACGCACACACACACACACACACACACACACACACACACACACACACACACACCACACACACACACACACACACACACAAGTCAAACCTCTGGATTATACAGACTTAAGGAAGGAATCCAGTTAAACAACGTGGATAATGTTACATGATCCTTTATCCAGTCTGCCCAGTCACTGCCATCCCACCCACTCTGCCATCCCACCCACTCTGCCATCCCACCCACTCTGCCATCCCACCCACTCATGCCATCCCACCCACTCTGCCATCCCACCCACTCTGCCCTCCCACCCACTCTGCCATCCCACCCACTCTGCCATCCCACCCACTCTGCCATCCCACCCACTCTGCCATCCCACCCACTCTGCCATCCCACCCACTCTGCCATCCCACCCACTCTGCCATCCCACCCACTCACTGCCATCCCACCCACTCTGCCATCCCACCCACTCTGCCATCCCACCCACTCTGCCATCCCACCCACTCACTGCCATCCCACCCACTCACTGCCATCCCACCCACTCTGCCATCCCCCCCACTCTGCCATCCCACCCACTCACTGCCATCCCACCCACTCACTGCCATCCCCCCCACTCACTGTCATCCCACCCATTCACTGCCATTCCACCCACTCACTGTCATCTCACCCACTCACTGTCGTCCCACCCACTCACTGCCATCCCACCCACTCACTGCCATCCCACCCACTCACTGCCATCCCACCCACTCACTGCCATCCCACCCACTCACTGCCATCCCACCCACTCACTGCCATCCCACCCACTCTGCCATCCCACCCACTCTGCCATCCACACCACTCACTGCCATCCACCCACTCACTGCCATCCCACCCACTCACTGCCATCCCACCCACTCTGCCATCCCACCCACTCTGCCATCCCACCCACTCACTGCCATCCCACCCACTCACTGCCATCCCACCCACTCACTGCCATCCCACCACTCACTGCCATCCCACCCACTCACTGCCATCCACCCACTCACTGCCATCCCACCACTCACTGCCATCCCACCCACTCACTGTCATCCCACCCACTCACTGTCATCCCACCCACTCACTGCCATCCCACCCACTCACTGCCATCCACCCACTCACTGCCATCCCACCCACTCACTGCCATCCCACCCACTCACTGCCCCCCCACTCACTGCCATCCCACCACTGCCATCCCACCCACTCACTGCCATTCCACCCCATCACTGCCATTCACACCCACTCACTGCCATCCCACCCACTCACTGCCATCCCACCCACTCACTGTCATCCCACCCATTCACTGCCATTCCACCCACTCACTGTCATCTCACCCACTCACTGTCGTCCCACCCACTCACTGCCATCCCACCCACTCACTGCCATCCCACCCACTCACTGCCATCCCACCACTCACTGCCATCCCACCCACTCACTGCCATCCCACCCACTCAGTATTTTATCCAGCCACTCACTATTATTCCCATCCATTCATTAATATCCCACCCACTCATTATTATTCCCAGCCACTGATTAATATTCCCACCCACTCATTAATGTTCCCACCCATTCATTAATATCCCCACCCACTCATTATTATTCCCACCACTAACTATTCCGCCTACTCGCTGTTATTCCCGCCCACTCACTGTTATTCCCTCTACCCACTTTCTAACGTACACCCATTCTTACTCCCCACCTACAGACCCCTGCACCCATGAATCATCTCCCCTCCAACCCCATTGACCCACCCTCTCACCCACCCTCTCACCCACCCTCTCACCCACCCTCTCACCCACCCTCCCCAGCACCCACTTCCGCTCTTCAAGAAACATGTGTCGCACATTTTAGGTATCACCTATCCCTTCTATCCTACACCCATCCTTTCATTCTGCACCCACCCTTCTATCCTGCATCCATCCTCTATCCTGCACCCATCCTATCCTACACCCATCCTTTCATTCTGCACCCCACCCTTCTATCCTGCATCCATCCTTCTATCCTGCACCCATCCTATCCTACACCCATCCTTTCATTCTGCACCCACCCTTCTATCCTGCATCCATCCTTCTATCCTGCACCCATCCTATCCAACACCCATCCTTTCATTCTGCACCCACCCTTCTACCCTGCATCCATCCTTCTATCCTGCACCAATCCTATCGTGCACCTATCCTTCTGTCATGCACCCACCCATCTATCATGCACCCACCCATCTGTCCTACATCCATCCTTCTATCCTGCACCCGCACTTCTATCCTGCATCCATCCTTCTATCCTGCACCCATCCTTCTATTCTGAACCATCCTTCTATCCTACACTCATTCATTCTATCCTACACCTATGCTTTCTATTTTACATCCATTCATTCTATCCTACACACATTCTATCCTACGCCCATTCTTTCTATCCTACACCCACCTATCCCATCCTGCACCCACCCTTTATCCCACCCACCCTATTCTCTGCTCACCCTGTTTCCCACCCACCCCATGTCCAACCAATCCCCATCCCCAACCCACCCCATCCCCCATTCACCCCCAGTAACAGGGATGAGGATGCGCTAAACCCGTAAAGGGTCGTACAGCGCCAAAAGATAGAGAAGGAAATCCGCTTTGATCCAGAGAATACATCTACTTTCTTACATCCAAATCGCAAGTTTTACCTATTCGGCACGACATATATATATATATATATATATATATATATATATATATATATATATATATATATATATATATATATATATATATATATATATATATATATATATATATATATATATATATGTGTGTGTGTGTGTGTGTGTGTGTGTGTGTGGTGTGTGTGTGTGTGTGTGTTTTTTACTCACCTAATTGTACTCACCTAATTGTGGTTGCAGGGGTCGAGACTCAGCTCCTGGCCCCGCCTCTTCACTGATCGCTACTAGGTCCTTCTCTCTCTCTTGCTTCCTGAGCTGTATCATACCTCTTCTTAAAACTTGTATGGTTCCTGCCTCCACTACTTCACTTGCTAGGCTATTCCACTTGCTGACAACTCTATGACTGAAGAAATACTTCCTAACGTCCCTGTGACTCGTCTGAGTCTTCAGCTTCCAGTTGTGACCCCTTGTCCCTGTGTCCCCTCTCTGGAACATCCTATCTCTGTCCACCTTGTCTATTCCCCGCAGTATCTTGTATGTCGTTATCATGTCTCCCCTGACCCTTCTGTCCCCCAGTGTCGTCAGTCCGATTTCCCTCAACCTTTCCTCGTACGACATTCCCCTGAGCTCTGGGACTAGCCTTGTTGCAAACCTTTGTACTTTCTCTAACTTCTTGACGTGCTTGACCAGGTGTGGGTTCCAGACTGGTGCTGCATACTCCAGTATGGGCCTAACATACACAGTGTACAGTGTCTTGAACGATTCCTTATTAAGGTATCGGAACGCTATTCTCAGGTTTGCCAGGCGCCCATATGCTGCAGCAGTTATTTGGTTGATGTGTGCCTCCGGTGATGTGCTCGGTGTTATGGTCACCCCAAGGTCTTTCTCCCTGAGTGAGGTCTGTAGTCTTTGTTCACCTAGCCTATACTCTGTCTGCGGTCTTCTTTGCCCCTCCCCAATCTTCATGACTTTGCATTTGGCTGGATTGAATTCGAGAAGCCAGTTACCGGACCACATGTCCAGCCTGTCCAGGTCTCTTTGCAGTCCTGCCTCATCCTCATCCGATTTAATTCTTCTCATCAACTTCACATCATCTGCGAACAGGGACACTTCAGAGTCTATTCCTTCCATCATGTCGTTCATATATCAAAAATAGCACTGGTCCTAGAACTGACCCCTGTGGGACCCCGCTCGTCACAGGCACCCACTATGATACCTTTTCACGTGTGTGTTTGTTTGCACCGTAATGGGCTCTTTACAGTTGCTGTCTCTCATAATCCTCAGTCATTTTTGTCATTTTCCATGGAATCATTGCAAGCATTGGTAGAGGAGATCCTTCCCTCAGTAGATGACTAGTGACAGTAGCCTGTGCGTGATGTACCAGCAGTAAAACCGCTACATCTCTTTTGAGCACATGATGGCTTCCGGCCACTGTGGCTCGGTGGTCACCACGGTCGCCTCACAACCGAATGGTCCTGGGTTCGAATCCCGGGCAGAGCGAGACATTTGGGCAAGTCCTTTTAAACCGATTGCCTCTTGTCACCTAGCAGTAGATAGGTACCTGGATGTTAGTAGACTGCTGTTGGTCGCATCCTGGGTAAATGACTGTTACATATCTACCAGCAGGTACACCTTGATGTTCCCTGTGTTCAAGGTTGGTGTCCCTTGATGTGAATCATCTGTCTTCCGAGATGAGGTCTCTCAAGTAAGAAGTGTGGAGGGGAAGACAGGACCAGAACTGAAGACAGCCAAGGAGTAATCATCACGTATTTTTCAAATCAAGGTCTATTATATCCACAGGTGGTGGGTGATGCAGCGGACCTGCATTTTTGGGCCCTGAAGCTTGAACTGTTATGGGGGGCCCCTTCGCAACCCCTTCTAATACAGTAAACCCCAAATTTTTAAGCAATTTTGACTAAAGTTGCTTCTGGAACTCCTCCAGGATTAGGGGCCT